TGTGTGTGTGTGTGCTGTAAGGGTGAAGCCTTGAGACAGACGGTGACAGACGTGAACCCCAGACAACTGGAGAACGCACGGATAACTCAGCATGTGTTATCCTGCTCAATTCAGAGCGCCAGTTGCTCAAGTCAGATGTTTAAATCCCACGTCCAACCGCACACAGCTGACGAATCGTTTTTCAATATCATATGTGCAGCACATATAAAAGTGCGTGAAATATTTTTGTTAATTTTTTTTTAAACAGCAGACTAAGAATAATACAATTTGTAAAAATTCAGATCAGTGGTTTTTGCTTCAGAACAACATATTGGATATCGAGTAGCGGCGACCCACAGTGTCAAAGTTGTTCAAAACTTTACTGTATTTACTTCCTTAAAAGACTGTGGAAAAGAGGAAAAGACTGTGGCTATGGCAGAGGAAGATTAGGGGTCGGTCACAGCGGTGCAGAAAAGAAGTACTGTTCATTTAATTACCCCCAAATTAGAGGAAAATGTATGATCCAATCATCTAGCCTTGGAATTAGATCAGGCGTTATGACATCATCGTTGAGTCTAATTCCCTCTGTCTGACTCAAGCTTGTTAAGGAAAGTTAGATTAATATGTTAAATCATGTTCACTTGTTTTTGCAATGGTCAAATTAGTCTCGTGTTGAATAGATTAAAGCTGTGTTTCCTCGTCTTTATGGTTTCAGCTCAAATTTATCTTACACTGGCACTAAACTAAAACTTGAACTCATTTAGCATTTTAAATGGTTCACTCATGGTTCACTTTTGAATGGGAAACAATCACCCAAGAAGAAGTTTGAGAGATATAGAAACCTGTTTTGGAGTCATTGGATTAAAGCCACGTGTGAATGTAGAGGCCATGACGAATACAAGCATCTGAAGTCCTAAAAGCATCATTACAGCAGAGGAACGCGCACGCACACACACACACACAGTTGTTGCTCAGTGGATTGTATGTTATTTGTGGGGTGTGTGTGGAGATTCACAGATGCGCGTGTTATACTAGAGATGTGTAACTACATATAGACCTTAAGCACTCGAGTAAAACAAGCGCGCAGCCATCTTTAGATTATTATGTTTGAACTTCCGGTTTTGAACTTCCGACTCCGTAGCTCTGTGTATATTTGCATATTTCTTCTGTTGACGAATATTTAGCTGGTGAAGTGGATTTACTTATTGTAGAGTTATCATGAGCACTGTAATATTTGAAGTGGATGTCACTTTTTGTGTGACAGAAGTGGAAATTTTTAAAACGAGCGCTGAAATCAGAAGTAAACATCTTACCTTTATGCTGTGGAAAAACAAACCGGACGACAGAACACAAAAGCGCGCGGCGCTGAAAGGGGCGGGGCTCCCGTAGAAGGGGCGTGGTCAAACGGTGTTTTGTTTTAACCCAAAATGACACCAAATTGATATGATAAAATGTTGACAAAATCCCAATAATTGTAGGTCTGTAGACATGCCAGTAAACACACTCTGAAAAAGATCTTGCGTAAACTTGCCTCAGTCGGCGGCCATCTTGCTTATTATAGTTCCCTGTGTGCAAGTGCTAATGTTACTAAATTACTAGTTAAAATTGTGCATTTCAAATCAGGAATAAAATCTGACAAAGATAAGGCTCTAATAAATTGTGATTCTTAACTATAACTAATTAAATATTATTTAAATGAATCATTAATAATAATAAAAATTCAGCTCTGCATTCACAAGTAAGCTGACTGTGTTTGGAATTGAATATTATAGTGTGTTTTCAGTTCTGGTTTCTTAGCGGTTACATAAACAGTTCAAGTACCAATTCTAGTAATATATTTGAAAATAAATGCAATGCTATGTGATGCTATGCTATGCTATGTAAAAATACAAAACTCATAAAATGCATTTTTAACTCCACGTTGTTATATGAACAACTAATCAGTAGTGAGATAGCACTGTGTTTGTTGTCTAAAAATACTCACAATAAAGTTCATGCTTTGTGTTGATTCAAAGATTCGGCTCTTAAGAATCATGTGTTCAGGGAACCAGAAAGTTTTCAGCAATCATTTATCCCGTTCTACCGCTTTATCTTTTTCATTCAGAAAGTGTGATTTATATAACATGATGGCACTGATGATTGGGCGTGCCTTTCCACGTTAAAGCCTTCACTTCACTTCTCTCTCCCACAGGGCGTTTCGCAGCCTGTCTGTCAGTCAGCGAGTTAAACCTCCACTGCATCTGCTGCTTCTGCAGTTGTTATTTACTTGCATTCTTGCAGCAGTTGATGTGTGTGTGTGTGTGTGTGTGTGTGAGAGAGAGAGAGAGAGAGAGAGAGAGAGAGAGAGAGAGAGAGAGAGAGAGAGAGAGAGAGAGAGAGAGAGAGAGAGAGAGAGAGAGAGAGAGTGAGAGAGAGAGAGAGAGAGTGTGTGTGTGTGTCTGTCACACACAGCCAATCACAGCCCTGCTCAGACCTTCACCTGCTACTGCTGTCAATCATCAATCAATCTGAGCCAATCACAGCCTCAGACCTGACGCTGAAGCTTATTGGACAGCTGAACTCGAAGCCTCACCTGCTACTGCTGTCAATCAAACCATCAGCTGTTCCTCGACTCAATCCCACAGACTCCCGAACACATACAGCGAAGAGGAGAGCGACAGGAACTTCTGATGCCTGTTGCCCCTTTAAAAACACACAGTGATGTCATGATTACCATATGCATATGGTGGTTTTCAAAGGTAATTAAAATAAAATACGATAGGCTAATATGTGTGTTTTAGAGGTATGCATTCACTAATTCACATTTTCAGATTTGTTTGATCTTGTTGTCTGACTAAAACCGAAAGATTAAAAAAAAATGCATTTGGGCCTACTTGAAATGTTGACAATATTGACACGAGTACCTTATTGCTTTTATACAACAGTTACCACACAATAAAAATATTAAAGTAAAGTAAATTAAAGTTCACGAAGTAAAAGCATTAAAAGCCTTCCTTCCGCTAGAATAAATAGTCCCTGACCGTGAACAGCAACAACAACGCTCCAATGTGTAATATGCACGAAATCTCAAATAAACACAACATAGGAACTGCAGTGTTGCGCATCGATACATAGAACAGTTGGGTGAAGCGGTCATAGCCGTGTTTTATGAATAAATACATCGCGTAAAGGAGACAAGGGTGTCGAGTAACAGTCAAGCTACAGTATTTTAAGGCATGACTAATTTTTTTTCAAGGGATTTTTAAAAAAAATATGTCACTCTGATCAAAGATGAGATTTAAGGGATAAAATGATTGACTAGGAGTCGGAGAACTTTAATTTCAAACAGAAAAACTTGAAAAACATGGAAAAGATCATTGAAGAATCGAGTAAACAACCCCATCTAGTGGTTAAATTGAGGAACAGGAGAATGAGGAACATGTCACGTGACATGAGGGAGAAGAAACTGATGCTTGAGGAAAAGACCTATGGAAAAGACGGACAAAAGTGTCTGAGAAGAACAGAGAGATGATGAATGAGCCGATTATGATTGACGGGTGAATTAACTCTTTTTTTCTTGCTTCTTCCTAAAGTTTTTCTCTCTGAAAGTTAGTTTACTGTTGAGATACAAAACAAGAGAAAATAATAGAAATCCAAATAAAAATACATTAGCTATACATAAAAAAAAATCTAACGTAGCCTACGGGGTAATGGTTTAGTAGCTATTTAATTATGATATTGTTGTACATTTTTCTTTCACTAGTAATTATTCAATATATTTCACAGTAGAAAAGAACCAATAATCAGCATCATTTTCACAATAGGCCTACCCTTTTTTAAAAACAAATTTCATTATAGAAATGTAACAAAATGCTTATAGCCTAGCTCTTTTCACTAGTCAATAGGCTGAAAAATGGCGAAAGCAAGCATATGGATAGAAAAATAGGATAATCCATTATATATTGATAGGCTATATAATTATATTTTCTTTTTTGTAATATTATTCCCTTCACACTTTAATTTTTTCAAAAAAATTTCCAGTAACCCATTATTTGGATAAGCAATTAAGTTAAAATCATTTAAAATCAGAAAAAATTTTCTGGTTTGGCTGCGCAAGTTAATCATGAATTGTTGTTTTTCTTTTTAATTTGACGTGAAGGTAACAAAAATATTTCCCATTTTAAGGTTGATGATAACACAAACACATACATGTGTTAAACTAAACCAGCTCCGGCAAAAAATTAATGCAAAGCACTGAATTTATCCCACATCCCCATCATCATCTCACAAATGATGTCTGGAGGCTTGGGCTCGGTTGCTAAGCGACGGTTGGCGTGGTGCGGTTGCCATGGATGTGGGCTGTAATTTCTGCTCGAGTTAAAGTGAATGAGACGCTGTAATTATCAATGGAGTCTATTCCGAGACTCACTGGACACTTCACAGGATAAAGATGTGTCAGAACACACAAAACCTGCAGGATTCACGAGTGTCTGTTAAATTAGCCTTGTGTGAGCCGGTAATTAACGCAAGCTTCATTAGATTTACACTCTTTACACGAGTTTACCAGAGAAAACGCAAGTTCATGTTATAACCAGCAGGTGGAGCCGTTTGTCCAGATTATTAATATGAAACTTCCCAGTATTTGGACAAACAAGAACCTCCATCCCAAAATATTCAGGCTGCAATACATTTTCATGAAGATAAATGTGATATTATGAAGACACGATGTTTAAAAAATTAAATTAGCCTACTGTCTTTAATTTGTCAATGTAATAAAGGTAAAACAAAACTACAAAAACTCTGGATAGAACACACACCTGTATATACACACATATATATATATACACACACACACACAAAAAAAATATATGTACCCTACGTATACTGTATACAAAAACATAGATTATATATATATATATATATATATATATATATATAATAGGTTTATATAGGTTTCACATATCTAGACAAAACCATCTTAAGTAAAACTTCTTTTATTCAGTAATACCATATATAATGCAATTGCATATCTTTGGCGAAAATAAATTTTATAAACATTTTATTAACAGAGGTTAGCGTACAAAAACGAGGGGTTTGTCCATGTGACAGACAGTAACAGATACTGAGGTGGCTCTGTCAGTGTTCACAACACAAGTCACATTTATTTACATCATTCAATGCAGTCTCGACACGCTCCAGATTAGCAGAAGAAAATATAATGAGACAAACACTAAAGAGAAATGGCACCAGCATTAACACATGGAGGATCTTCACACACTCACACACACACACACACACACACACCGGATCGGGTCAATTGGCAGAACGCTCTCACAGATGTAACTCGACCTCTGAGGAATATCTATGAGCGAGCCGAGGGTCACGTGGCAGTGGAGGGACACTATGGCAGTTTACAAAATTCATTTCAGGAACTGCAATTTCATAAATACAGTCATGTTAAAAAGAAACTCAAAGACGTTACACTTGGGGTCAGTATTTTCCCAGAATTCCCAAATTTCAGCCTGCTTCATGGGTGAATCTCACGAATACATGTCCTGATCACATTTCACACACAAAAAAGTGTTTTTTACAGTATATATATATATATATATATAAATGCATACGCAAGATTTAAATGCATAAACATTTTTAGCAAGAATTTGCATTAAAATTGCATGCTATTATTTATATCCATACATGCATATATATATATATATATATATATGCATGCGTGTCTATGTATATATATATATAAAAATTATAGCATGAAAATGTGTGTGTGTGTGTGTGTATATATATATATATATGCATGCATACGCAAGTTTTAAATGCATAAACAATTTAGCATAAATTTGCATTAAAATGGCATGCTACAATTTATTTATATATATATACATACATGCATGCATATATATATAGTTAATATTTAAATAGCCTATAGGCAATGTTTAGGCTATTATATATACACACACAATAATGTATTTTAACTCACTGGTTTTTTTTTTTTACAATAATGAAGAATTGAAAATATTGTCGAAATGCACCAAAAACAAACCATCTTACTCGTCCTAGAATAGGTTTTATTTTCTGTAAGTAAAATATCATTTCATAAATGATTTTATTTTGATTTTAAGGCAAAATCAAGAATAGTTTCCTTGACGTGTGTGTGGTGAGATTCGCCCTCGCAGGCGCTTGGCAGTTTTATTAGTTTATAGTCAATACTTCTGAACCTGATGTACAAAAAAAGAACAAAAATTAAAAAAAGAAAGGATTAGTAAAGCAGCCTTGGCAGTGATTAAATCATCTTTGATATTTTGGCACACGAGGAACAGAAACAGGTTTAGTAGACAGTGACACTGATGTTGTTCAACAACACAATGTGGGTCCAAATGAAAGGAACAGTTCAACAGCTCATTAAACACGAGCCTTTTGTTCCTCCTTCTCAGATGTGGCGTCTCAATGAACTCGTCTAGGTGTCTTTGAGGCAGTGATTTACATGTTTTGGCACAGGTCGTGCATTTCAGATGAGCTGCTGGGGTTCTGGGGGTTTAAAAGCGACAGAGGGTCAAACGAGGCAAAACAACAGCAAACCAGGAGCAAACCATCCAGTGAGTCTCGACAAACATACAGCATGAAGAAATATTCATATGTTCCTGTGCTAACATCACTTTTTGTAAATGTGGCAGTAGTTTCACATGAAAACACATGTGTGGATCATATTTCACCCCAAAATAAAATGAAGAAAAAGCACAATATTGGACAAAAAGATGATGAAGCAGATCCCAATACTGTAATTAATTCTTTAAGTTGGTTTGTAAAACTAATTATGCGTCATTAAACGTTTTTAACTGTATTATGCTTAACGAATACTGTAATACTAGTTTTTAAAATTAAAATCAGTATAAATTAGAGGCAAAAACTACCATGAAGTATAAATATTTTACAATTTACATAATATATACATTTTTGTTTTCACATTACAGTTTTGAAAATAAATGCGATTTCCCTGTGTGGGTTTCCCCCCCAGAATTCCCTGTGGCAGTGATGACATCAGTCATTTGGAGGGCGGAAAACGCTCAAGCAAATAATGTCACATCAAGAAAACTAAAATCTCAACCTTCAATTCTCTTCATCCAAAATATAATCCTATTTTTCCTTGTATTTTGAGGTGAAATATGATATGAACACATGCATCTGTACATCTACACCTCAACTCCAGTATTGACCTCTCAAAGTCAGCTGACTGCGTTAAAACACGCAACGCATGGGCACAGAACCACACACACACATATATATGTATATATAGCAAGAGGAAATATAGAGCTACACGGCTTGTGTTGTTTGCATAGGGTCTGGACAGAGGGAATCAAGGCCTGTTTCAGTTCACACACACACACAAAACTGATGGAGCATCTGAACAGATCACGGACGAAAGAAACGAGGATGATGGGAAAATGTGTTCCAGTCCTCTTCGGAGTCGATTCAGAGCCGTTTGAGGCTGTTTTGTTTCAGTGATGGTCGATCCGGTGTTGATATTCAAGATTAGGCTTTAATTCCAGTCAGTCAAGCATCGAAATGCTTTTAACTTTATAATTTGATGAAGACTCATAGGGTAAATCTCATGAAACCGGTCAAGAACATGTCCAAATCATAATGCACCCCAAAACTTGAAAATATAGTAAGAAATAATACTCTTTATTTGTAAAAATGTTGCCTATTTTTCTAACATTGTCATGACAACTAAGCACATTTTTCCTATAAACTCTCATTACTAATAAATTAAGGTAGAAATTATTGTATTATTTGTATGCCAATTTTGGCAGATTTTAAAAGGAAATTTTTATTTTGTAAGTTCATATTTGTATAAACATATTGGAGGATTTTTTTTCTTTAGTAATTCTAGAGCATTGTAATATTAGATGCGCCAACACAAAAAAATCCATATAAACTTAAATATACAATATTTAAATACAGTGATGAGAATTATTGAGAAAAATGGGAATAATGAATCTCAAAAACTTTCATTTTAATGCTAAACAATTTATTTTCTTTTTTTGATTTTGAAGTGTGACCCTAACATATTTATTATATATTTATATATATTATTTATTCATATATTTTTCCTAGAAACTCATTATTGTAATCAAAGTAAAGCAAAAAAAAAAAAAGTTTAAAAAAACAATAATTTCTGCCTTAATTTATTATTTGCATGCCAATTTTGGCTGATTTTAAAAGGAAATTTTTATTTTGTAAATTCAGATTTGTATAAACTCTGAAATTTGATATTTCTAAAGCATGGTAATATTAGATGTGCTACCACAAAAAAATCCATATAAACTTAAATATACAATATTTAAATATATAATGAGAATTATTGAGAAAAATGGGAATAATGAATCTCAAAAACTTTCATTTTAATGCTAAACAATTTATTTTCTTTTTTTGATTTTGAAGTGTGACCCTAACATATTTATTATATATTTATATATATTATTTATTCATATATTTTTCCTAGAAACTCATTACTGTAATCAAAGTAAAGCAAAAAAAAAAAAAAAGTTTAAAAAATTTAAGTTTAAAAAACAATTTCTACCTTAATTTAAACTCTGAAATTTAATATTTCTAGAGCATGGTAATATTAGATGTGCTACCACAAACGAAAAATCCATATAAACTTAAATATATAATGAGAATTATTGAGAAAAATGGGAATAATGAATCTCAAAAAGTTTCATTTTAATGCTAAACAATTTTTCTTTTTTGATTCTGGAGTGAAGTGTGACCCTAACATATTTTCATGAGATTCACCACTTATGAAGCCTTTAATAAAACAGAAAAACATATCCGTTATCCATAAATTGCCATCCGCAGTGATCTCCAGTGCCTCATCACGCCAGCCGCCTGATGATAATTATTGCATTTCATTGTTTTGTACTTCAAAAAAAATTCAAATTAAAAGGGAGAGAGAGAAAAAAACCTGGGAACTCTTGGTGTAATTCTCGTTGGACGACGGGAGAGGTTAGTGCCGGGAACAACACGGACATGCACTCGTTCTCTGCAGAAACACCACCGATTCACTTGGAAGAGTAGGACACCCACTTTAAGAGGAAGCATGCAAACGTTTAAGAGAAAAAAAACGACAATTTCTCCTCGGTTTCTCCTTCATCGTGAACGTTTCTCCATTCGCGCTCAGTATGGCTTCGTTCACCTCCGCGTGAGAGTTGCTATTGCCGTGGTTTGAGTCCGGGAGGGAAATTCTCTCGTATAAAACGAAAAATGTAGAAAAACAAAAACAAGAGAGAAGGTTTCCATGATGTGGAAAATGAGGAGGCACAGTCACTGAGGGTTCAAATCGTCACTAAGGAATTTTTCTCGGCTTTATTTCCGGTGCTTTTCCAGTTTTTTACTTTTGGCCCTTTGCTTGGAGAGATCCAGGCCGGATCGGATCCCGGCGAGGTGCAAGAGAGACCCGGCCGCCTCTTTCAACTCCTCGTCCAGCTCCGGTTTGGACTCGTGCCGGGCCCGTTTTCCCGGAAGAGGACACTTGACGGTGAGCGAGGGCAGTCGTGGGTTCCTCTCCTCATCCGAGTCTTCATCGCTATGGAAACCCTCGCTCCCGGCGCGACGGGCCTGGCCGGACTCACAGCCGGCCTCGTCCAGGGATGAGAGTGAGGACGAGGAGGACGAGGAAGAGCGAGACGAGCAGCACTGGAAGGACGAGCTGCTGTAGTTGTGGTCCTGCTTTGGGTCACTGCTCACTAGGACCGAGTCCCGGCGCGAGAGGTCTATAGGGCTGTCCGGGTCACCTGAGGACCAAAAACACAACAGTCATTGTAATGCAATGTTTCTGACATCATCATTCGTGTCACCCCAGGTTAAGTAACAGATATCACCATACTTCCCCAGTTCATTGATTGCAATAAGAAATGCAACAAAAAGATGTTTAAGTCTTGATTTAGTTTTTAGGCTCTACTAGAATAAGTTTTCATGCTTGGATGTTCAAAAAACACATTATTTTCCTCATATTTTCCATTGTTGCGGCTCCTCTCTTCCCAGTCTGTCAGTAACGCTCTGTTTAGTTCCTGTCTCTATGAAGCCCCGCCTTCTGAAAAGCACACTGTGCTCTAATTGGTCGGCTGGAGCAGTGCGTTGTGATTGGTCGAGCGCTTTGGGAAATGTCCCGCCCCTTAACATAACCGCCAGTTTCAACACACTATAACTAACTCAACCAGGCCCCGCCCCTTTATTCTGCGCATTAATTATTTAAATGAGGAATATTGTCACGTGTTTAAGAAACTCAAGACTACAATGGAGGCGTTTCAGGAGTTCAGAAACACTGACACTGATATACAGAAGAACAACCTTTTTCAACATCACACACTCAAGAAAGTTTAAAATAAAAAAGCATAACAGGTCCCCTTTAAATATGCATTAATTTGCATAAAGATCCAGAACAGAAATCTGAACATTGGATCAAGCCAGATTGAAAATTCTTGTTTCATTTAGTTGACGACGTATTAAGTGTCAATCTGTAAACTGGCGTTCTGAAACGCGTCATCAAGTCCTTTCATCCGCCTGTCTTAATGAAGCACTCTTGTGATGGTTAATTCTGCTATGGGTGATTAAGGCTCATTAGAGGTAGAGAACACTACAGTGACACGCTTAACAAGGATAAAGACGTGTGAACGAAGTGCAATGCTGCACTAATTACCAGCAAGAGCTTTTAGTCATCACACAGACATATTTGCAAATCCATCCCCATAAATAAAGATGCAAACGTGTCTCTCTGTGTGAACCTGAACTAAACGGACTCATCCACTGCACATGGAGACACTGGGCAGAACATCAGACTCTCAACATCAACATTATGAGGAAATATGAGCATATTTCTGAGAGACAGACAGATACATAGACTGAAAGAGTGATAGAGCGATAGATAGCATGGATGATAGAACGAACTGTAGGTAGATAGACAGGGAGATAGACAGATAGATAGAGATGGATGGATGGATAGAATAACAGAAATAAAAAGATACATGGAATATTAGAAAGATAGAATTAATGATAGAACAAATGATGGATGGATGGATGGAAGAAATAGAAAGATACATAGAATGTTAGAAAGATAGAATTAATGATAGAACAAACAATAGATGGAAAGAAAGAAAGAAAGAAAGATAGATAGATAGATAGATAGATAGATAGATAGATAGATAGATAGATAGATAGATAGAATAACAAAAATAGATAGATAGATAGATAGATAGATAGATAGATAGATAGATAGATAGAATAACAGAAATAGAAATATAGATAGAATGTTAGATAGATAGAATGATAGAACAAACAATAGATAGATAGATAGATAGATAGATAGATAGATAGATAGATAGATAGATAGATAGATAGATAGATAGATAGATAGATAGATAGATAGATAGATAGATAGATAGATAGATAGAATAACAGAAATAGAAATATAGATAGAATGTTAGATAGATAGAATGATAGAACAAACAATAGATAGATAGATAGATAGATAGATAGATAGATAGATAGATAGATAGATAGATAGATAGATAGATAGATAGATAGATAGATAGATAGAATAACAAAAATAGATAGATAGATAGATAGATAGATAGATAGATAGATAGATAGATAGATAGATAGATAGATAGATAGATAGATAGATAGATAGATAGATAGATAGATAGATAGATAGATAGATAGATAGATAGATAGATAGATAGATAGATAGATAGAATTAATGATAGAACAAACAATAAATAGATAGATGGACAGACAGACAGAAATAGAAAGATAGAATGTTAGAATGATAGAACAACAGAATGACTGATAAATAGAACGAACTACAGACAGACAGAAAGGTTAGATAACAGAAATAGAATATATATATATATAGAAGGTTAGACAGGACTATAGCGTGTCAGATTGAGGTCCTCTCTTACATGGGTCAGCGTGGTGTCCAGGGGCCGAGTTTAAGAGCATCATAGCAGTCGCCGCATCAATGTCCGACTCTATAAAAGGACACAAGACACACAGCGGTCAGTGTTAGTGTGTGTGTGTGTGTGTGTGTGTGTGTGTGTCTATGAAGGAATTCAAGGGGCTGGAGTTTCTCTGTTTCCATGCAACCCTTCAGAAAGTTTGAATTATTCATTACCAACCAGACAGAGGAGAGAGTGAACAACCAAACTCAAGGTGACAGACAAAGAGAAGCTCCATCAAGATTAACAATGAAAATATTGTAAACCAAAAAAAAGAACATTTCACAGGGTTCTCAAACTTTCTGACCAATGAATTTCCTTGATTTTTACAGAGAGATGAGAATATTCTAACCAATAAGATTTCAAAGCGGCGCTTATCATTTTTACTCATTTACCTGAAAAAAAAAATATGTCTCACCTTTCAGAGAGCAGTCCTGGAGGAAGAGGTGGCGTGCGGGTGAGAAGGCACTGTCACACACACGGAAACACACACACACAGACCGTAAGACACAAAGCAGGATCAGAAATAATGATTTCCACCAACCTGAGCGCCGAATGACAACTTAAAGGAGACCTGTGATTCCCTTTGGTTTTAAGACTCTACTAGGTCTACTAACAGGTTTTCTAGCTTGAAACACATTATTTTTTACATATTCTCCTCTCTTCCTGGTGCGAAAGCCCCTCGTTTCCGCAGCGACTTTCAAATGTTTCCTATAACAACGTCTTACATGTTTTCGTGGCGCGAGAAAGTGACAAATGATGCAAAATCTGATTAGAGAGGAGCAGAAACGGATTTCTATAAATGTGATTTCAAACCACATTAGAATGTAGCTTAAACGCATTTAATATATATATATATATATACATATATATATTAAAAAAAAGCTTTTCATGTAATTTTATGCCGTTCACATTTGCTAAATATGATCAGATTCCAACTGGATATGTAAAAAAATCTGATTTGGACCGACAGTCTGAATAAAGCTGGAAAAAAACCCTCTGAAAGACAATATTGTTCCCTGTGCAGTTGTCGTTATGGTTGTGGTTTCTGCTATTCTTTTACAATTAAAGTCATTTTTATAACTGTATCTTTTTCATGGTGTGAACGGACTTTCCTTTAGATGGTAAAATCTAAGAAACTAGGCGTAATTTAATTCAGCATCTTTATGCCGTTCTTTGGCATAATAATCAGACGTCATTGAAATGAATAAAAAAACCCGAAACGGTCAATTCACACACCATATTTGCAATTAAAATGATTTTATATCAGACTGAATATCAACTGAATGGTTGTTTATGAAGTTCTGTTTGGCATCTTTCTAGCTTTCCACCTTTTCTAGAATGGAAATGTACAGAAACAGATCGGTTTAGGGGGACAGACATTTCCAACGAATAATAGTAAGCATCTTGCATCTATAATTATTGGTACTATAGCCTATACTATATAAATGAACTAAATTAAGTTTTTTAAAACAAAAACTGTGACACTATTATCTTCTGGAAACAAACTTTGTAGCATCATTTTCCTGTTATCTCTGTAAAGTCTGTAAAATCTGTATTGTATTTAGTGCTATATAAATAAAGGTGACTCAGTAAATGTGTGTGTTACCTGGGCGGGGAAGCAGGGGGAGTGCAGAAGGAGTGGGCTGTGGGAAAGTGCTGTTTCTTCAGGGCTTGGATCAGATTGGGTCTGTATTCAGGGTCCACACACCACAGAGAACCCTTCCCATTAACCTACCAGAACCACACAAACACACACAGGTGGTCAGAGACAGAACGAGACTTCAGCACATCTGACGTATTGTTAGAAATATAGTTGCCTTATTACAACCATTAGGTCTCTCTGACTGGAACCACACACTCTAAACCTGAATGATGGATAGACACAGACAGAAAGAACGAGAGAACGATAGATAATCAGATTGAATGTTAAAATGATAGATAGAACTAGGCTTTAGATAGACCGTTAGATTGAGTGAGCGAACGCACGTAGATAGAATGATAGACAGATGGATAGAAAGACAGGCAGATAGAACGATAGAACGACAGACAGATAGATAGAACGACGGACAGATAGATAGAACTACAGACAAATAGATAGAATGATAGACAGATAGATAGAACAACAGACATATAGATAGAACTACTGACAGATAGATAGAATGACAGACATATAGATAGAACTACTGACAGATAGATAGAACTACTGACAGATAGATAGAACTACTGACAGATAGATAGAACGACAGACATGTAGATAGAACTACTGACAGATAGATAGAACGACAGACAGACAGATAGAACTACTGACAGATAGATGGAACGACAGACATGTAGATAGAACTACTGACAGATAGATAGAACGACAGACAGACAGATAGAACTACTGACAGATAGATAGAACGACAGACAGACAGATAGAACTACTGACAGATAGATAGAACGACAGACAGACAGATAGAACGACAGACATGTAGATAGAACTACTGACAGATAGATAGAACGACAGACAGACAGAACTACTGACAGATAGATAGAACGACAGACAGACAGATAGAACTACTGACAGATAGATAGAACGACAAACAGATAGATATAACTACTGACAGATAGATAGAATGACAGACATATAGATAGAACTACTGACAGATAGATAGAACGACAGACAGACAGAACTACTGACAGATAGATAGAACGACAGACAGACAGATAGAACTACTGACAGATAGATAGAACGACAGACAGATAGATAGAACTACTGACAGATAGATAGAACGACAGACAGACAGATAGAACTACTGACAGATAGATAGAACGACAGACATGTAGATAGAACTACTGACAGATAGATAGAACGACAGACAGACAGAACTACTGACAGATAGATAGAACGACAGACAGACAGATAGAACTACTGACAGATAGATAGAACGACAGACAGATAGATAGAACTACTGACAGATAGATAGAATGACAGACATATAGATAGAACTACTGACAGATAGATAGAACGACAGACAGATAGATAGAACTACTGACAGATAGATAGAACGACAGACATGTAGATAGAACTACTGACAGATAGATAGAACGACAGACAGACAGATAGAACTACTGACCGATAGATAGAACGACAGACATGTAGATAGAACTACAGACAGATAGATAGAACGACAGACAGATAGATAGAACTACTGACAGATAGATAGAACGACAGACAGACAGATAGAACTACTGACAGATAGATAGAACGACAGACAGACAGATAGAACTACTGACAGATAGATAGAACGACAGACATGTAGATAGAACTACTGACAGATAGATAGAACGACAGACAGACAGATAGAACAACAGACATGTAGATAGAACTACTGACAGATAGATAGAACTACTGACAGATAGATAGAACGACAGACATGTAGATAGAACTACTGACAGATAGATAGAACGACAGACAGATAGATAGAACTACTGACAGATAGATAGAACGACAGACAGACAGATAGAACTACTGACAGATAGATAGAACGACAGACAGACAGATAGAACTACTGACAGATAAATAGAACGACAGACAGATAGATAGAACTACTGACAGATAGATAGAACGACAGACAGACAGATAGAACTACTCACAGATAGATAGAACGACAGACAGACAGATAGAACTACTGACAGATAGATAGAACGACAGACAGATAGATAGAACGACAGACATGTAGATAGAACTACTGACAGATAGATAGAACGACAGACAGACAGATAGAACGACAGACATGTAGATAGAACTACTGACAGATAGATAGAACGACAGACAGACAGATAGAACGGTAGAATGATAGACCAATAGAATGATAGATGAAACAAACGAATGATAAAACTAATGATGCGTAGATCGTTAGAACGATAGATAGAACCATAGACCAAAAGAAAGAACTGTTTGAACAAATTAAAAAATGAACGATAGACAAATAGAAAGATAGACCAATAGAATAATTTATAGAAAGAGCAAATGATAGAAGGGTTACCTACCCTAACCCTAAATTATATAATAAACAATAGAATGAGTGATAGATAGAATTAGAAAGTTTTATCAAATGAAATTTGAAGTTCTTGTGTTCATCCTGATACAGACTTTATATTTTGGCCAATTCTATGACATTCGACGTTATACAGTAGATTCCACTTTTATGACTGGATTCACGTGTGGATAAATATTCTGTGGTTTGTCACTTTACACTGGTCAGATGTTCTCCTGTCAATATAAGCCACAGACATTAACCTGCAGTTTGAAGGCGTCAGAAAATGGCAGGTGTGCAAGAAACACCCTTTATGTAGCGGCACATTTCACACTGAACACACAAAGAAAATGACAAAACGGGCCGATGAGAAGTCCTCGCTGTTGAACACATGATCATCTAAGCATGAGATTGGCAATATAGCCCTGCTGGGAGTGTATGAGCAGCGCTTAAGAGCGCCCGATTAACAGCAGAATGTGGTTGTGAGCAGCATAAAGGATGTTTATGACAGGATCAGCTCGCAATTACTGCATCAGTTCAATTATTCAGTCCCTCCAGAAAAACGCGATTATGCGATCGCTGAATTCAACGCAAAATCAGCCAAAGTCCACATATTTATGCGGGGGCCGCATTTTTTCAAATACGCCGCACTTTCGCCGCATAAATTGCCGATTTCCGTGCAAAATATGTGGGGTTTGCATAATTTCATAATCTTCGCATTTTCGTTGCAAAAAAAGTCACATGTACCTTAGCAGAAAGTTGAAAAATGTGCGTTTGCTTCACACAAGAGCAGCCATTTCCCCCTGTTGTGACGCAATTACGCGACGCCAGACAGACTCACGGAGGCGATCGACATCTCACAAATCGAACTCGTATAACTGTCTGTCACACGTTCTACCGCCACGTCGTTCCTTAATAAACAACAATATAAAAGGAGTAGCATCAAACAGAAATTACCCGCACACATGGGGTGTTCGAGACACTGCAGAGAGTTCAACAGGGAGCGCGCAGCTCTTAAAGGGGCCACACCTTATTTACACTCGTTACAGTCTGAAATAAAACAAGATGAGAAATTAAATATTCCCAGCACTTTCTATGATGTAGTATGCTTGCTTATCAAAGGAAGTAATAAGAAATGACTCTTACATTAGCCTAGTGAGAACAGGATGTTGGGGGAATCACTTTTTTTCTCTTTTTTATCAAACCGCAATTTTTGCAAGTTCCCTCAATTTTTGCAAATTCCTGCAATTTCATCCCATAAAATTGCATAAATATCCCGCATATTCTTTCCATCGCATTTTTAAAGAAAACGGGCCACGTAATCAAGGATTTTTGCCCGCAACAATCACAAAAAAACTCAGCGTTTTTCTGGAAGGACTGAATACTATTATGGTAAATGTTATATGTAAATCGCACATTTTTTCACAAATTTTTGGAAATTACCACCACAAAATCAGTCATTTTGATCGCAAAAATCACAAAAAAAAAATCGTGAAATCCTGGAGGGACTGATTATTATTGCACCTAATGGATGGATTTTGCCGGGAGTCAAGGGTGTTAAAGGTAGAAAACCATACAGAGATTTCTGAGATTCATAAATATAAATAAATTTACCTGCCCTTCAATATATAAGCACACAGTTTTTTTCTACTGGCCCAGTCAGACCAGTTTTTCTTTAACTTGCTCTATCAAAATGCACAAAGTTTTCATTGTTTTTGACCATTGTAACCTTAGACTTTCAGGGAGGTCTAACAGGTAGGATATATTTAAAAAAAAAAAATTATATATACAATTATTTATTAAATTGCCTTATTAAAACTGCAAAAGTTATTCAGTTATTCAGCATTTTGACATCAAGCAGTTATATGTGAACGCACTTTGAGTTCTGAGTCTGCGGGAATGAGTCAAATCAAGTGCAATACCACGCCGAAATTCAAGCCACGTAACACCAACAATATTGATACGGAGCAAATGAAACGAGCGAGTGAGGAGAGGCGGGTTTGTATGAAACGAGTGAGTGAGGAGAGAGAGAGAGAGAGAGATAGAGAAGCTGGTATTGTGTGTATCTGTTCTGCGGAAAATTAGTATTGGAAGAGTTATTAGTATCGCTATGCATTGATCTAGTCAAAATCTATATTTTTGACAAAAATACATTGCACTTAGTTTATTATTTCAGTTATTAATTGAAAAATGTATATAAAATTCAACCCAGCAAAAATGTCTATTAGGAGAGACTGCAATACACACCCATTTGGAGGGGTCAGCGGGTGTTAATGTCAAGCTCTGAAGGTAACACTAGCCAAAGGATGATGGGAAAAAAGGATGCTGCATTAATTGCGCTAAATTGAAAAAATTAATCGCATACATTAACGCTTTAATTTTGACAGCTCAAATATATACACACACACACACACACACACACACACACAGAGAGAGAGAAGCACAGAGGAATAGGAAGGAGGAGGGCTATAACCTTGACTCAGATTACCAGCCTGCTCATAAACAGGAAGGAGGAAACGTCGTCATGGCAACCGAAACCAATTGGTGTCATCCGAAACCTCAGTCTCTCTCGTTGCGTGTGTGTCTGACGGATGGCCTCTCACTGGGAGTGTCTCGCCCGCTGACCTCTCCCGGGTCGAGAAAAGATCATTTCACAGCCAGCCAATTACACACAATCTCTCTCGCTGCCATTAGTAAATACATCTCAACATTACGCCGTCGGGTCCTCCTAACGCAGGAGATGACACGGACCGTACAGTCAGAGGAAGAGTCTGAAACCGTTTGGACAAACAAAAAGCTGTGGCGTAATGGTCAGTGCACACACACACACACACACGTGTTTTTTAAAGTTTAAACTCCGCTCGCAACATTTCCAGATACGCTCTCTACGCTTCCCTAAATACAAAAATGGCAAAATAAATTACAATTTTTATTCCTAGCAAGAGCAATTAAATCATGTGCAAGTCATATATAAAATTTAGTGCAGTCAAATTGATTAAATCGCATCTAACATAAAAGTTTGTAAATGTATAATATACAAACATACAAACTTTTATGTTCGGTGCGAATAATCACGATTAACTGATTTGACAGCACTAATAAAAACATCAGAGATCAAAATTTCATAGCAAACATCATTAAAATGTTTAAAACAAAGGTTTGTTGGTTTCAAATAAAACTATAGATCTAGTGTTGATCATGCTTGTTCCAAAATTCGAATATAATTCAAATATATATATATATATATAAAAAAAATAAATAAATAAATTTAAAAAAATCAATACTATTAGTAGGGTTGGGTATCGAGAATCGAGTATCGATTGGAACCGAGACTAACTTTTCGTTTTTCCCGGAATCGTTCAAAAGTTAAAATTTCGATTCCTAGTTTCGATATTCACAGTCCGCCGAGCGGAAGAAGAAACCGCTGAACAACACCAAGGAAGAAGCGTCTACCGGAAGTGTTGGCATAACCGCGCAAGTCGAACATGAGTACCTTACGTCGGCGATCCAAAGTGTGGCTTCACTTTTCTAAAAATAACGAAATCTCGGCAAAATGCAAAATTTGTGACAAAAGGAGTATTTTTACAGAAGGAGTATTTCCTTCAGAAAGGCCGTTGGTTAGCAAGGTTAGCTAAACTTTTTTGACCTTGCCTCTTAAAAGAATCGGAATCGAGAATCGTTAGGAGCCGGAATCGAAACAAAGAATCGGAATCGGAATCAGAATCGTTCAAATTCAAACGATACCCAACCCTAACTATTAGAATGCTGAAGTTACTGTTCGAATATTGCTTTTTATGTATATTTTTTATTCTTCTGCGTTCTTTTATATGCAATCTTGCCTTTTCGCCGCCTTGGCTTACACGTTTCGTCTGATGAACAATAACATTTTTGAATCGTAACAAAAGTGTGCACGTTATCCACGGTGTATCATCATAACAACTGTCAAAAAATGGTAGCATAAATGTTAAACGACGTAAAAAGCGAAAAGAAAAAAAAACCCGCAAATATCTCAACGGATTCGATGCGCATCGAAATATCAGCCGAAAACCATCGGAAGCGCTTCAACAAAATTCAGCACGAATAAAAAGTGTATTAGATGTCCCTCTAGTGGACCAAACGTGTAACAGCAACCACATGCTATAGTGGCACTGGCGATCCATAAGCATGTGTAATGTTGTAAATATTAATAATACGATAAATTTTAGCATTTAATTTTCAAATATTATTCGAATATTAAATAAAACAAGGAATGGAATTCGAATAGTATTATAGTCCTAGTGTTGAGAACGCTTCGGACCAATATTTTTACTTAAAGTGGCAGACTAATGACTGAAGAAAAAAAAAAATTAACATAATTTATTTTGTTCATTATCAAATCTCATTAACACAAGGTTCTCTCATTACGGTAATATCTATTTAAAATTTTCTGTACAGCAAAATATTGCAACAATAAATCAATAAAATAAAGGTAATTAAATTTAGGATTAATTAATTTATATTTTGTTTTGCGGTAAAGAAAAAGCAAAAGTGCTAAAAATAATAATAATTTTAATTCATAATTAAATGTTCCAGATAACATCAGTATTCACTTGCTTTTAGCTTAAACACAATGACGTCGCCAACTATTTCATTTTCACACAACATGACGTTTTAATTCTATCACACTTCATCTTATATCATTATTTATATATTAAATATAAGGGGTTATTTCACATTTTGACCGTCATATTTTGGGGTCCTTGGTATTAAATCATGTGTGCTAGTAAAACACATCCACTAAAAATCACCAAAATAACAACTATCCAAAGTGAAAATATCCAGCAGCATTTGAGACACCTAATTGCCTCTACTTGTTAACGAGTGTGTGGAGCCACTGACACACTGACTGCCTCTACAGGAGCCCGAGGAAGAGGAGCTGTTGTGTTTGGTTTTGGGTCTCCTCCAGCAGAGTGTGTGTGAGTGGATCTCTGCGCGGAGATAAGCTGCTATCGGAGTGTGTTTGCTCTCAGGGAGGAGCAGTGACCTTGACTAGATTCCCCGCCTCTTTTTCACACCGGAGAGAAGAAATCCACGTCACACTTACGCTTGCACCACGTGGAAGATGTTAATCGATGGTATTTGCTTCTCCTGAAGCAGTCAACCCCCATTATTTACAAATAATTGTATTTAAAGGAGTAGTTCACTTTTGAAAAAACTTTTGCTGATAATTTACTCACCCCCATGTCATCCAAGATGTCCATGTCTTTCTTTCTTCAGTCGAAAAGAAATTAAGGTTTTTGATGAAAACATTCCAGCATTTTTCTCCATATAATGGACTTCAATGGGGTCCAAACGGTTCAAGGTCCAAATGAGAGTTTCAGTGCAGCTTCAAATGTCTTTAAACGACACCAGACGATGAATAAGGGTCTTATCATGCGAAACGATCGGTTATTTCAAAACTTATTCCAAAAATGTAACTTTTCTAAGGACAAATGCTAGCCTTTCTCCATTCTGTGAGGCGCGTTTGTAACGTCACGTAATACGTAATTACGTTCAAAAGGTCACGGGCGACGTAGCCGGAAGTACAGAGTCAGTGTTTACAAGTTGAACGCATAGGTTGAACGTGCAAACTAACTCAAACGCCGTTTACAAAAAAAGGAATTAAAAGGTAAAACAACGATGTCGGACGATTTTTGGTTCTGTACTTCCGGCTACGTCGCCCGTGACCTTTTGAACGTAATTACGTATTACGTGACGTTACAAACGCGCCTCACAGAATGGAGAAAGGCTAGCATTTGTCCTTAGAAAAGTTACATTTTTGGAATAAGTTTTGAAATAACCGATCGTTTCGCATGATAAGACCCTTATTCATCGTCTGGTGTCGTTTAAAGACATTTGAAGCTGCATCTGAAACTGTTATTAACTGTCTTTTGGACCTCGGACCGTCTGGTTCCCATGTAAGTCCATTATATGGAGAAAATCCTGGAATGTTTTCATCAAAAACCTGAGAAAAGAAAGACATGGACATCTTGGATGACATGGGGGTGAGTCAATTATCAGCAAAAGTTTTTTCAAAAGTGAACTACTCCTTTAAGGGGAATTTTTGGTGAAAAACTACATTACCCATGATGCTGTGCAGAAAATTAAACCAGTCAGAGAGACAAGCAAAACTATGAGCTCACCTTCCCAAGGCTCCTCTCCACCTTGCGGAAGCACTTGTTGAGGGAGAGGTTGTGCCGCACCGAGTTCTTCCAGCCAGTGGGGGCGCTGGAGAAATACGGAAAGTGCTCCAGGATCCAGCCGTAGATGTCCTTCACCGGGAGAGACTTGCTGGGAGACTGTTCGATGGCCATGTATATGAGCAGGGAGAAGGAGAACGGCGGCTTGGACTTCATGGACTCTCCCCCGTGCGACGCCGCCGAGGAGCTGACGGATCTGCCGCGGTTCCCCTCGATGTCGAACAGTGGACTCGGGCTCGACTGGGCCTCGGGGCCGCCCAGCGTGAAGTTCTGGAGCAGGTTCTCGTGGAGCCAGTTGAGGTTGGTGAGTTCCTCGTCTCCTGAGCTGGAGCTGCGGTCCAAGCTGGTGGCGAGAGGACTGGCGGCACACTCGGCTTCGGGCAACGTCCCGCAAACCCCGCGCAGGCCCGTCCGCTGCTCCCCCAGAACACCCGGGGATTCTGCTTTCTTATCCGGCGACATCCCGATGATTGGACCCATTAAATCAAGGACGTCTGCGGAGAGGAGGAATAAAGAAGTGAGATAATGGCTAAATTATGGCTGCACAAAAAAGGTTATCGGGTAGAAAAATTATTTTGAAACGCAATTGAGAACGGATGAAGTGAATTAATCAAACTTAAAGACACTTTAATTTGATTGTGAAGAAAACTTAATCTGTTGACAATCATTTTGAGTGCAATGCCGAATAATGCAACTATATGCGGCTGATCAAAGTAGTTATGCACAATATAGACTATATCTACATGAATTATGTGGCAATTTTATTTTATTTATTAGTGTAAATTAATATTGAGTATTTAATTGTGCATGCAAATTTCCATCTATTTTCAGACGACCTTTGCCATCATCAAGAAAGTGCATGAAGTTGCTTAAACTTTAACACTAATAAATTATAAATAACTGTTAAATGAACAAATTAGCATGCAATATACTGAGCAATTAATATTTATTTTATATACTTTCAAATATGTATATATTTTCAAATTTTTGTGCATAACATTCTAATTACTAATATTTCATTATTATTAAAATGTATTAACTTTTGTATGCTAAATAGTGCTGGCCAATTCGTGAAAATAATTGTTAGCTTATCAGTATCAGATTTAAGATAAAATTAAGATCAGTGCATCAAACTCATGCAAACAGTGATAAATCAAGTCAAGTACGAACAAAAAATAGTTATTGTGAAGAAAACTGTTAATCCGTGGAGAATCATTTTAAGTGCAATCCCAAATAATGCAACTGATCAAACTAGTTATGCACAATATATACTATATCTACGTACATTAATTATCTGGCAATTTTATTTTATTTATTAGTGTAACTTAATATTGAATATTTAATTGTGCATACAAATTTCCATCTATTTTTAAATGACCTTTGCCATCCTCAAGAACGTGCATGAAGTTGCTTAAATGAACAAATTAGCATGCAATTAAATGCAATATATTGAGCAATTAATATTTATTTTATATACTTTCAAATATGTATATATTTTCAAATATTTGTGCATAACATACTAATTACTAATATTTCATTATTATTAAAATTTATTTACTGTTTTTACGCTAAATTGTACTGGCCAATACGTGAAAATAATTATCAGCTTATCAGTATCAGATTTAGGATCAAAATTTAAGATCAGTGCATCAAACTCATGCAAACAGTGCTCAATCAAGTCAAGTACGAACAAAAAACAGGATTGGGAATAAAACTGATCAAACTCATGGCACACATCGAGTGATTGGTTAATTCAAGCCTTTCCCCTTTTTTACAACCATTTTCCAGCTCTGAGCCAAAGTTCTCGCTACGTTCTCTTCTCTAAAGTCCCTCGTTCCTATCCAATAATCTCTCTTTCTGAGAAAGCCTCGTTCCTCGCAGTCACTCAGCGCTCGCAGTGAAGGAGCGCCTCTTGTGTCTGAGGGTTTTTGAGGTTTCTTGAGTGTGTCTGCGATGACCCGGTCTCGTCCCCATCACCGCCCACCTCCTCACGCAGCCGCTAGTTAGCCATCCACCGCGAGAAGCCCTCGAAGCCACTGGCTGAGGAGAGAATCGGATGCTCACAACCAGTGGAGGAGGACAAAACACATCCAGAAAGCAGTGCGTCTCCGCTCATCCATTACAGAGGAAAGAGAGGTGACAGTGTTGCTTTGGCAACCTATTGCCTATAAAAGCAGAAGAGCATCGCTGCCGGATATCTGCATTTGTATGAAACGGTTCAGTGGGAAATCGCTATCCATCTGGTTTTCAGAGCATCATTCTTAATTATTAGTATTATACACCCACTCACTCACATACATGCATATATATATATATAATATAATTAGAAAATATGTACATGAAAATTAGGGCTGTCAAATGATTAATCACATCCAAAATAAAAGTTTATGTTTACATAATATGTGTGGGTGCACTGTGTATAATTATTTTGTGCTTGTGTGTGTATATATATATATATATATATATGAAGAGTTCAGATGCAAAAGCCTCTAAATGCCATTTGAAATTTTCTTCTAAAATGACCATTTTTATCAAGCTTGTATATTTAAGTTCAGTAATTTCACTTAAAAGACAATTAATAGGTAATCTTCATTGCCATTTAAGTGAAATTATTGAACTTAAATATACAAGCTTGAAAAAAATGACCATTCTAGAAGAAAATTTCAAATGGCATTTAGAGGCTTTTGCATCTGAACTCTTCATATTTCCAAAAAAAGTGGAGTATCCCTTTAAAGAAGGCTATGCCTCCTCAGTATGGATAGAAAATTGTTATATTACAAGACAAGGCTTCTCAGAGGTTACTCAACATGTTTTATTGTTTCAAAAATAATTAATGAAATAATGATAGAAATAATGTCTCTTCTGTATTAGAAAACTAAATATATAAAATTGAACAAAAATAGCTCTCACAAACTTACAAACACAAACTAACGAAATATATTTATATCTTTATTGTTCTTCCTCTTTATCCTGTTTTTCTTCCTCATCCTCCTTTATGTCCATCTATATTTTGCTGTAGAGCTGATCTCTCCCAGCAGTTTTTTGAAAACCAGGACATTTTCATCACTTTATAAAAAACATCCAGGACGTGAAAACAGGACATGTCCTGGGAAAACAGGACTATTGGTCACCCTCTTTCAATATAGAGAAAAAAAGCATTTGGAACAATATGAGGACATAAGTAAATGATGACAAAAAGTTCATTTTTGGGTGAACTACCTCTTTGAAACTAGGGCTGTCACTTTACGTTCTAAAAATCGATTGCATTTTCGAAAACGAAAATAGGGAATCGATTTTAACGGGCCTTCTTTTTGCCTATATTTGTCGTGGAAAATGGAAACGTCTTTTGATGCAAAATCGATTTTACAATCGATTCAATGAACACTTGAACTATTTAACTAGAACATAAGAACGTTAACCACACATAAAGGCATGGACAATGGACATGGTCAGAAACAATGCTCAGGTAGGCCGTGGCATTTAAATGATGCCCAATTGGCACTAAAGTGTGCCAAGAAAACACCCACCACACCATTACACCAACACCACTAGCCTGCACAGTGGTAACAAGGCATGATGGATCCATGTTCTCATTCTGTTTACGCCAAAGTCTGACTCTGACATCTGAATGTCTCAACAGAAATCCCAGTAAGTGAGCAGATTGGGAAATATTCAGACACCAACAACCAAATCACCTTTCTTTCCCATTCTGACATTCAGTTTGGAGTTCAGGAGATTGTCTTGAAGCAACTGCCATGTGATTGGTTGATTAGATAATTGCATTAATGAGAAACTGAACAGGTGTTCCTAACAATCCTTTCGGTGAGAACCCACAGAGTGTGCTTCTAATGAAAATGTTTCCTACTTAAGACATATTTCCTTTCATCTTAATGATCTCTTGCAATATTTAAAGGCAAACCAAGTCAGCTTTTCCCAACAAATCTGGGAGCATGAGAAGAGATTTTGCACAGGAGGAAAACTGATAGCCTGCTCCATAATTCATGGAAGTCCAGCCTTTAAAGTCCTTTCTACCCTCAGAAAAGCTCATATATCCTGCGTAAACTGCATTACGTAATTGTTAATTATTGATAACTTGCAATTGAGTAATCAAAAAGGTTGGCAGTTTTGTACACTAGTACCACCAAAGACCATTTCTGGTCTTCAGTCGATGACACATGAATCCAGCTGGCTTTTGCCAAGGTCACCAACCTGTGACGGCTGTGAAGAATGTGAAAAATGAAGCCGATGACCTAAAAAGCCATCAGAAAAGGACCGTTTTAGCCCTCGGCGTCAGGTGGGGTGATGTTTCATCGAGTAGGATTGAGATTCTAATGGACAGAGATCCATACGTCCTGGAAAAGCTGAGGCGAGCATTACAAGGTTTGGCTGCTCTTCAGTTCTGAGTTAGTGCTGTCACTTTAGTGAAAAAATCCTGTTTGATTGGAGACAAGTGTTCATTGAATCGAGTGTAAAAATGTCTAGACTTTTCCTTTTTTAAACACCAAATATAGGCAAATCCACGCACAACTAACAGGCATTAGGACGGACGTAGAGAGCGTTTGAGACGCGCACAAGTTAGCAATATTTCTGATGATTTAATGGCGTGACGTTTCCTGCACAATGACAAACAGGAGTGCAACATTGAAATTAACACCCTCCAACACGTCAAATCACGAGCCAATCTGGTGTATTTGTATTTTTCTGGTGTATTTGTGTATCTGGTGTTGCTGTATTTACTCACTTTGCTGGGGAAGTTCATGTAAGCCAAAATTGCGCGGATTTAGTGCAAATACGCAAATTTCTGGCTTACTTGAGTCACTACGCAACAAATAACGGCACGCTTGTTCTAGGGATGGGCAACGATTAATGGCGATTAATCGCATCCAAAATAAAAGTTTGTGTTTACATAATATAGGTTTGTGTAGTGTGCATAATTAATTTGTATACCCACACATGCATGTATATATTTAAGAAATATGTGCATGTATATATATTTTATGTATATATTTATTCACAATGAATATTATATTATAAATATAAATATTTGATATATTAATAACACATTTTTCTTAAATATATACATGCATGTGTGGGTATTTATATATACAAATTAATTATACACACTACACACACATATATTATGTAAACACAAACTTTTATTTTGGATGCGATTAATCGTTGCCCATCCCTAGCTTGTTCAGTTGCACATAAGTATTAGCGAATATTAAAAAGCATTTGGTTAACAGAAAAGACATTGTTATTTTACAACATCCACATGTTCTGTGTACTATATTGATCTCCCCATCTAAAACACATTTTTTGTAAAAAAAAAAAAAAAAAAATCGTTAAAATTAATCGCCGTTAAAATCGATCCCAATTTTCGTTTTCGAACTTATGTTGGATGGTCCGATCTATTGTGCAATCGCTTTTCGAGCATAAAATGACAGCCCAAGTTCTTAGCCCTGTAATAAACTGCATGGGCAAAGAAAGAGCA